AGATACTGCATCTAGTATGCCACCTATGGTCACTGGATTGGAATGAGAAAATCATCCTGAGTGCATATGCTACTGTAAGTACTTATCCAATGGATTGTTTATGTTGTAAGTACTTATCCAAGAACTTATTCAAGAACTTTATGTTGTCTCTTTGATGATTCCAATCTGAATTGCTGGGCAAACGCAATGGAACTGCCTGTCTGGACAATGAGCTAACAACAGAGAAAATGGAGAGCGTGAAGCAGGTTTGTTCATTATTTTACCGGATCTTTGATTTCAATGTTACTAGGGGAGTGCCCGTGCGTTGTGGCTCAAGCACACCCATAACCTAGTTCTTTATGACCATCTCATCCCTTTGCCTATATAAGGTCTTCCGATCGTAAACGTGTACTCCACATAAATCCATCTTCCTTCATTCCTACCCCTAATATTTCCGCTTCCTTCGTGCGGCCACCTCCTCCCTTTTCACTCTTTTGCCTACTCAATCTTTCTCCTCCCCTCCACATATTTCTGAAACCAATATTTCACGGGTTCTATTTTTTCATCCTATACTAATGTTTTAAATACAATAACAAAAGCACGAGTCGCTCTGTACTAATGTTTTTAGTTGTTTTGCTTAACCACTAAAACAAGCATAAACAAAGAAGAGTAAAGTACATAATTAAGTGACATAGTTCAATTAAAAGTGTTCAGATCATGGTAGCCAAGCTGATCAAAATTCCCACACAACCTCAGGTAGATACAATGGGTCCTACATTACAAGGAAATCTCTATGAAAAGTATTATGCATGTTTCTCTGTGTCTCTTAACAACGTAGTCTAGTTCGGACCCTCCTTATATACATATCGTTTCTAGTAACCAATCAACACTTTCAGCAGGTCTCGAGGTGTCCTTCAAGTTCGAGGCACACCATTTTCTGTATTTTTATTGAAAAATATTATTGTCAAAATATAAAGTAATATGTAATGAATATTGATTAAAATACGTATGCCATCCATCCCACCTACGTCGTGCATGGCATTCATTTTATTTTGATGGTGTGATTCACGTTGCTTTCTATTCCATTCGTTCTTTCCTTTCTATATTAGACATATTCGCATACCGTTCTCTTTCCCTTTGCCGTTTATGCTCATTAGGATTATGATTTGAGTGTATTGGAGGAATCGCTCCCACCTATTTGATAGGTTAGCAGAGTACATGCTTTTAGATTGATAAAGATATATAATGTAATACCATGAATTCTACCGTTTAATTATCAATTGCCGCAAAAAAAACATCGTTAAAGCATAGTACCCGTTGATATATCAGTCCTGTTTAGGCATGATTAGGGACACTCAACCAATTCTAATATTGGTGGTTGAGTCAGCATTCAAAACTAACTGAACTTTCTTAACTCCTACCTGATTGGATTAGTTTAATATACTATTTTAGTAGGCATCATTGTCATCATGCCTATATCAACTCAAGTCAGAAACTACTAAGAGCAAGTTTAATAGTATAGCTGGCTACAGGTTTCAAAAGTTCCATGTCAACAAAAAAAATAATGGAAAGAGATTAGCTTGTAAAACAAGTAGCTACATTAGCACATTCCTCTAAAAGATTATTTTATAATTTTCTAATCTGATCAGCTCTTGCGATTGGTAGGGCAGCCATGCATGCATGGAACGATGTGCTGGAGCTAGCGACTAATTAAGCGCCAGCGTTTCTCTCTCCTTCCGTTCTCTCTGCTCCATCTCAGCCAAAAACTAAATTGTTTATTCCTATCGCCGGCTGACATAAGCCTATTGAACCTGCTCTAAATAGGATTACGTTCGAGTTTCAGGAAGCTACATATATACGTTTCTAGTTTCAGTCAGGTGAAGGATGTATTGTATTTTTCTTCAACCATAATAACAAACCATCGGAGAAGATAACTACAGAAAATTATGTAGAATTGCCTCCGTTGGGAAGGGCGGACGAAATACGGGGACGCGCGGGACCTGGGGGGGTTCGGGTGGACGCGCAGACGAAAAACTGGGGACGCGCGGGGCCGCGGGGGCAGGCGGACGCGCCGCATGCATTACCTTTCGTATTTTTTAGTAGTAGAGACTGGCTCCATGTGTTTGACAGCAGATTTTGTTTTCAGATTTTCATTCCTATAGTTAATGAGGGTCACTGGTCCTTGGTGGTTGTTACCATTAAACCAGAACATGTATATATTCTTGATTCCGAACCTTTGAGACATCAATCGGAGGCAGCTGCTGTGATAGATAGACTGACGGAACATTTGAGCAGTAAGCACGTCATTGATATCTTTGGGTATCCTAAAGATACGCCAAATGTTAAGCCTCAAGATAACAAGTAAGTGGATGACACTTCTGTTGTCTGTGTTTAAAATAAACTGAAAACTGGTAGATGCTCACCTTTTTTATGTGGTTTTCATGTTGCAGCTGGGCCTGTGGTTTTCATGTTCTATTATATATCAAAGGGTTCGAGAATAGGGACATATTTGACATCAACGAGGTAAACATTCAAGTTTTGTTCTATTCCAAATCTAGAACAAATGATTTATTATGCCTAGGGTTTGACACGGTTCTTAACTGAAACGTGTTTCAGTTGGTTTCAGTCAAATGCTTAGGTTAACTGAATTGAGGCACATTTAGGCCATTCAAATTTGATTAACTTGAATTCAAATAAGCAATACAGTTAACCTAAGCTCTAGTACACATAATCAAGTTTAGAAATGCAACCAAGTTATAAACTTTTTATTTTGTAAATCTCATTTTAAAATTGCTCAAAGTTAGTGTTTCAGTGCTGTCCAAAGAACTTAACTGAAACTGGATTTCAGTTAAGGGCAGATTTTATTAGGGTAAATTTAGGGTATTTAAACTTGTTCAATTTGATTTCAAAACACCAATTTACTTGATCCTATATCCAAGTTTTGAAATGCATCTACTTTGGAAAACTTTTGTTTTGAAAAACTCACTTTGAAATGCATCTATTTTGGACAAATGCATGCAGGAAGCAGTGTTTAAGTTCCGAATGAAGCTTTCTGTGGAACTACGCCACCATAAGATGAACCGAGCACGAGCAGTTGGCCCAATCCATATTCGCCCTAAGGAAGGAAAAGGCGCAAGCCGTGATGCATACATCTACATGGAAGAAAGCATTGCAGCAAGCGCAGAGGACAACCAGGAAGAGGCAGAGGTGAAGGGGAAAGATGCATCAGGCAATGATAAGAAGAGTGCTGGCAGTAACCAGGAAGAGGAAGATGCATCAGGCAATGATGAGAAGAGTGCTGGCAGTAACCAGGAAGAGGAAGATGCAGAGGTGAAGGGCAAAGACGCATCAGGCAAGCCAGCTGGTGAGGACGATGATAATGCACTCATTTCACCACAAGATAAGCGAACGCGCAGGAAGACTACTCCTAGTAGTAGTTTCCATGAACCCCCGAAATTTGAAGTAGCTACACAACTGACTGCTACTAAGACAGCTGAGGTCTACGATTATGTCAAAAAAATTGGTAAGTTTATGGATGATTATAGTTTTGTTGAGAGTTCTTTTTTATTGAGTAACTGACTGATATTCATATCGTGTTTTTAATTGGCAAAGCAATGATTCTGTGCTGTTCAAGTTGGGCGACATTACCATGACGGGGGGTCAGCTGATAAAGTGCTTAGAGGCAGACGACAGTACCAAGACCATTATGAATGCATTTGTTCAATGCCTCGAGTATGATGATGTTGAAAAAAAACGCTCTGCACACAGAAAAATCATTTTTCCACCACAAAACCTAGCAAGTTTTCTGAAACAAACATATTTTTGGCATTGTAGCAACGGGATGTCATAAGGGGAACATTTTATGAGTAGAAACACGATATGAATATTTTGTTGTGCAGACTGGCGATGGAATGCAAGGGATTGGAACTGAGATTGCTTCTTGGTTGATGGGTGGAAAAAAAGACGTTGCTTCAGGAAAAAAACTGAGAAATATAAGACAGAGATTTGTAAGTGCTGCAGTATTATGATAAATGTTAATTTCTTACATTCAGTCATTACTTAGGTGCTGCAGTATTCTTAAGTTAATACACTCAACATTCTTATAAATGATAGTTTTTGCAGGTAATTGTTCCCATCTTTCAACATGAAGAATGGACTGTGTTTTTTGTTGATACTTGCTCAAGTAACCAAGTCTCTGTCTTGATTTCCACAACAACAAAATTAGGAGCCAGTGAGATTGAAAAGTCTGCTAGAACATTCGCGGAGCAGGCACATGATGGCTTCATGCATGGTGGCTACGCCTCACCATTTCCCGTCCTGGACCAGATAAGAGCGGCAACTGTTTTTATCAAATCCCGTCCCTGTACTTTAGCAACTATGGTCTACCTTGAAAGATACAATGGCTATGAAGCGTCCTTGCCACCTGCTAGTGTATTCCCTCTTAACACAACATTCATGTTTCCAACTTCACACTGCAAATAAAATAAAATAAAATAAAATACTGTGCATAAACTCCTTTCTATTTCAATTTGCAGTTCACTGTGGAGGAACACGTGCAACCAAAACTGGTCTACTTTCTTCTCCACAAGAAAAATGAAGTGCAGCTGCCTCCAGAGATCACTAGCATATTGAAAAAAGATGAAAAGAAGAAGAAGAAAAAATGATACAATGTCCTGTACAATGCATAAACTCCTTTCAATTTCAATTTGCAGTTCGTTGTGGAGGAACACCAGCCGGAATGATTATCAGAGACTTGAAGGCTTTTGCCGACCTGAATTTTATTATATGTATATATATTTATGTATATATGTATATGTATAGACACACACATATGTGTGTGTGTATGTACACACACACACACACACACACACACACACACACACACACACACACACACACACACACACACACACACACACACACACACACACACACACATATATATATATATATATATATATATATATATATGATGCACATGAGCTAACCAAGTAAGATTGGATAGCATTTACACAAAGTTTATGTGGCTGAATGAGCATAAGATGGATGTTTTAACCCCACATATTGGCGCTCGATACATATATGTTATCCCATTAAGATTTGGGTGGCCGATAGATTGTGCATGGGAAATATTGATTTTCATATCCCATGTAGAGGTCCTTTATGCTTTTGCTATCCAATTAAGATGCAGGTTAGAAAGGATATATCAACCCAACATGTAGACATAAGTACGAGATTGCTTTAACCCTATCCCCTCTTATTTCTTTACCTATAAACTTTCATAATTCAAGAAAATTGATTTCTTTTTCTTCAATGATAATCTATTAGAAACCTCCTTCGAGGTATCATTCCTAATCAAAGGCCTTGAGCCAAAAAGATTTTGCGCCGACCTCCTTTGAGAAGGCATCACTTTTCTTTAAATACAATCATGAACAATGAAATTTGATAAGCCCCGAAGTCATCATCGTCCTACAACCAGTATCGGCTTCAGAGTCTTGGAATCGGCCGATGGGAATTATCAAGTCGCCAATAGTCATATTCCTACTATATTCGGTTAATGAAATTAATCAATTAAAGGAATTTTATCCAGAAGAGACCGAGTTCAAGGAGGATGCAGCATGACAGTTTATCTATTAATTAGGAAGAGTTTGTTAGTTTCCTTATATCTCTAGGAAAGTATGTTTAGTGTTCGATGAGGACTTTATGTTTTCCTTTTATCTTTAGGAAAGTTTCGTTCTTGTCCAACGAGGATTAGTATCTACCAATGGGTATAAATATGTACACCTGGTTATTGTAAACTATCTCTCGATCAATACAACTTCGGCGCATCGCCACCTTTTACCTTTCTGCTTTTTCGACGAGTTCTTGCTTTGAGTTAGGGCATCGACTTCGATCTTATGACAAAAGGTATGACTTGTCTCAGCGGTTTGCGTTGGCAGATTAGGGAGTTGCTTTAGATGTTCTAATCTATCTTCTACAACCGTTGGTTATCATATATCTTAGTTAATCTAGCTTAGCATCTTAATTTGATCATATCGGCTAAGATTCATTTTAAGGTTTATGCTGGTATCGACTAAATTATCTTACTAGATTATATTAACTAAGGTATCCACCACATTGAAAATCAGTCAAAGACTTGATTGTCTAGATATTATGTTACTTTTCATAATTTACGCTACATTAGTCCTAGCCGTGTTTAGAACCATAATCTCCAAGCTGCTTTTTGATTGCCAATAAGGGATTCATCAGTATTTCAGCCGATGAGTTATATGGACGTTGCATCGGCTCACAAAGGTTGCATACAAGTTGGTTTTAGCCGATCGCATCAAAGGTTTCACTCTTTAATGACATCGGACCTCCAGCCGATGTATGTTTTAACATTCGAATCAATGCTTATTCTATTATATTATTGTTAGCCGATTGGTTTCTACTGTATTATATTATTATCAGCCGATTGTCTTTATATCACTATCTACATTGGACATATAGCCGATTGCTTAAAACCGTATTGACATCGGCTAGTATCGGCATCGGTTGGATTCGCTCCATCGGCTTATCAGCCGATCAGCTCTCTGGTGATCAACATATTTTTCTATCTTGTTAGTTGCAAGATCAAACTGACTGGCACGCCCGCATCTCATCAAGTTTTGGACCTACACTGAAGCTAAACAGACCTCCCAGGCCATTGTGTTCGTCGACTTAATTCGCGCCAACATAGATCCGGCACCATCGGCCGAGCACAGATTTTTCGTCTACAGCTCTAACATGGAAAATAGTGAGACTTTTCACATATTTTGGTTTGTTACACTTTTCTAATCTAAACATGAAATAAACTTAGAATTCATAAATATTTACAAAGTTAAATGCATACATATAACCATATTTAATATGGTAAAATTGTATATTGTATATGTGTGATTAGGTTTCTTGTGGTGGAACCAACCATCAAGTTTTAGAGTTGATATGGTACATGGATGCTCATACTTACTGCTAATTTATCTTTCAATGGCAGGGCACGTACCCATCAACACAAGACGTCTATAGTGATTTTGTCAATCTTAAAACATGTCGTGTTTGAATAAAAAAAATCCCGACACAATCTATTAGAGGTGCTCATTCGGTAGGGTGTGTGTATTGCTGACTTCACTTCGTTAATCTAAAGATACGTTGACCGAGTCTCTTGAAGATACTCATAGGATAAAGTGCGCATGTGTATGATGATCGACTTCGTTAATCTCATCTATATCAGCTTCCGCGATTGTAATGTGTTTTGAAAACTTTTTTTTCACATTGCATAATATACTTAGGTGACTTGGAAAATTACAATTTTAAGCTTAGCAATTGTAATTTTATTAGGTGATTGAAAAGTATTTTTTTTCAGTGTTTAATCAATCTAGCAAATAGAAAAAGGATAATTCGTTATGGTTTGTGTTTTTCGATTTCGTTTCACCAAGGCCTACAACGATTAACGAGGGGATTTGACCGCGAGCTGACGAGGCCATGTGACATGCTTATTAATGCCGCTCTAAATACAGTTCCGGCCATATCGCGTTCACCGTTAAATAGCTACATACGGATCCTTAATTACAGGCTTAATTACAACTCGATTGATCACCTCACCTCTAAGTTCTCACAAGGTTAAAACCGACACTATACATCCATACTGTAGTATGATTGATCAAGTCACAACGCTATCATCCTTGTCAAATTAAAAAAGTAAAAGTATAAAAAATAAAAGAGAAAAAAAGTCGCAAAGCTAGCTAGCTACCGAATCAGCGAAGAAAGAGCAAGAGCTCTCTCTCTCTCTCTCTCCCGCGCTGCTTCACACGCACGACGAGGCGATGCTGCTCCGGCGGCCGTCGGCCGGCAAGAACGCCAGCGCGAGGAGCACGGCCATGAGCCCCACGGGGACCAGCAGCAGCAGCGACGGCGGCGGCGGGAGCGGCGGCAGCACCAGCGGCAGGAACACCAGCAGCGCCGCCAGGCAGGCGAACAGCGCGGTCAGCCCCGCCGTGAAGTACGCCGCCGACGCCTCCGGCTCCCTCCGCCTCCGCGCCGCCGCCACCTCCCCCTCCTCGCCGCCGTCCGCCGACGGAGAGCCGCTCCTCGTCGTCTCCCTCGACTCCGTCATATCTCTACTGATCAACGAGACTGCAAACTCTGCAGTACATATATAGCTAGAAAGCTAGAGGAGCGAGCTTGTGGCTCTTCTCTGAATCTTCTGGAGTATTTCAGCCAAGATCTTTGATGCTCTTCTTGAATGGTACAATGGCCAAGGGAAGATATCGATGTCTCTCTCTCTCCGTCTGTGCATGGACCAGCCTAGCTAGGTAGTGCCCAATTGGCCAGGTTGAGTTAAATGGCAGCGAGCCGTCAAGATTTTGGAGGGCTTTTGGGTGCAATGTATGTAGCCTCAGCTAATCTTCAGTGTCACAACAGTATCAGCTAGGAGTAGGACTGTACCTTTGTGTCCCTCCCTCCCTTGGGGGGGTGGTGTATCTGGGAAATTGTATACAGGACTACGCACACAAACACTGGTGGGTGGTGCGCTTAACTGCTTTGCTTGTACCTTGTGTGCGGTTGATTCATTGCATCGGTTGCTGGTTAGCTTTCTCATATAAGTCGCTCATCTTTTTTTTAATGGGATTTTTTTTAATCCGACATCTATATCCACAAAAATATGTACAGCTAAAACATACATGAGTTCTTAGACTTCGAAGCAGCTCACATGGAGGAATACACAAAAACACATAAAAGAAAAAAAAAGAAGACTTAACTTCAACCTTCATTGACGACTTATATTTTTCTGTCGCAGCGCGAGAGGGCGGAAGGGGGAGAATCAAACTAGTATGTGCTACCCGTCACCACGCCATCCCCACCTCCACCATCTGCTGCCAACTGTTGTGTGTGCTATCTGCCATCGCCTTCCAAATCCCTTGGTGTGCCACGAAGCCACTCTACTGCGCCACCACCGTCTTCCGCATACCGTCGAACTCCCTGTCACTCCTAGAGCGTTGTGGAGCCATACAACACGACATGTACCTGCCTTTACTACGAAGAGCTCACCAGAGATGCTCCACCGTCATTCACAACGTAACTATCCGCAGTCAGACCTTGGCGTACGTTTATGCTCACTTGGCAGCTACCGCCGCTGAGAGCTAGGTGAGCTAGGTGAACCAATGATCATCGGACCATCAGCCAATCCCGTCACCAACGACCACCGTCCAGTCATTCTCACATGGCCGTGGTTAGATCCGGGGGCGCCAGAGCTCGCCTAGCCATTGCCGCCCCTAGGACACTACCACAAGAGCCTCTACTGCTGTCGTCTTCATCTGTCATGGCCAAACCGACCATCCACCGTCGTCGCCATGCAGATCAACCAACCCACCACCGCAGGGGAAGGGCGACCCTACTGTTGTACGTCACAGCTAACCCTCGCAGCCAGTGAGAAAGGAAGGGACGGAGGACCAACCCCCGTCTCCGCCCACCACCGACGCTGTTCGTTGCCACCACCAAGTCCGGTGACGCCTCCGGTCCTTTATGCCACAACATCCAAAACTGGACATCACCGGAGTGCCAGGCGGTTGCTAGTCGGCATGGCACATCACCAGTGCCATCACCACCATCGTGCCACGCCTCCCCTGAACATCACTCGGAAATCGGGCTAGCCGCCAGGTAGGGTGCCTTGCCGGATTTGAGTGTCGTCGTTGCCTTCCACGCACAACGACCAAGACCTCGTCAGATCCGAGCCACCACCTCCCGTACG